GAATCCAGAACTATAACATCTCTAGCATCTTCTTCACCTTCCGACACTGAACTTGTTCTAAGCCTTTTACACATTGTGTCACGTTTGAAGATACAGAAATTGAAGAACCGAGAGCCATCAAACTCGAAAGCCAAGAACTCACCACCAATGAGACCTTCGTCCTTAACGATTCTCTTCCAGCCATTGACCAGAACATACTTGTCAACATCACCACTGCATTTCCTCAACGCCATTCTCCAATTCTTTCCATAAATGCTACTAACAGTTACGTTTGTAGGCAAAGACATTGATATGTATCTGTTGAAAGAAATGGGTAATTCCTGCAAAAAGTATCTACAAGTTTCAAACCAAACAGAAGTCTACGGACAAAACATGTAAGAACAGAGTGAAGAGAGAAGTGCTTTTTAACCAGATCATCTCCTGAATCATCAGGTAGGTACACTTTGAAGAATTTTGGAAGACAATCATCTCCTGGAAATTATACGAACAAAAAAAGACAAAAATCAAAATCTTGGTATACATTGCAGAATCAAGAACAAAAAAAGAGTGTAAAAGAGAAACCTTTGTTCATCGTTCGGTCTCTTCTTTGTGCTCCTCTCTCTCTCTGAAACCCTAGGTTTTTCGCAGATCTAATGTTTTTTTCAGTGAGAGAGATTCGATGACTTTACTTGCAAAAACTTGCAAAAACAGAGGTCGCTCTCTGTTCTGCGCTTATTGCTAATAGTAGTATTTTTTCCCCACTAACCCTCTTAATTGAAATTCGTTTAAAGAACCAACCAAGGTATTATCGCTAAAGCCCACGAAAACAATAAATGGGCCTAAAATCGGTCCACTAAGTTTACAGAAAATGACAATATTGTCCCAAGGAAAAGAGAAATACACAGAAGAGTCGAGAAGGGATATTATAGTCAACAATTCACTTGCCTGTTACCGGTCGTCTTCATCGATTTCTTCAACCTCTTCTCGCTTTCGTCACCGGGAAATTCAAATTTCAACAATCGAATCAACATTTCCCGACGAGCTATTCTCTTCTGAGTACAAAAAACCTGCGATTTCCCCTTATACAGATCTCAGACGAAGCTAGACTCTTAAGACCAGTAATGGAGAGTCAGACTCTCCAAATCCCTAGATTGAATCGTATGGTTCCTACTCGACCCTCCTTTTATCTTCAATTGGTACGCGCTTCGATTTCTGGGTCTGAGCTTCGTTCTTCAATGAAGAATCACATGGGTGCAGTTTCAGTTACTTTTGTAAAATGATAGCTTTACATGGTTTTTAGTTGAGTTGAATATCGTATATTTTGGCCTCCCTGATCACTGGAATTTTGAGACTATGTAAATGTGAACTAGTCGAACTTTTAGCATTGTTTGAATCTTTGTTTGAAAAAAAACTCACTTACTGGCATAGAAAGAGCTTCAGTAACTGAGTTTTAAATCTGAACTAGACAATGTTCAGTATGTAGTATACACTTGTGTATAATGCAGATAAAGGAACCGTCAATTCTTTTTTGCAGGAGGAGTAAAAGGCAACAACAGCATGGAGCAGCCGAGCCCTTTAGGCAAGGAGAACACTGGTGGGAACAAAGATGAATTGCCCAAACTAAGTGTGGAACAAAGTTGAATTGCCCAAACTGATGGTACTAGCGTTTCACTAGGATTACAAGAACTTGAAAAAAACTTTTTAAACTGTCTTTGAATCGTAAAAGTAGAGAGAAGAAGAAGATGAGTGGCATACAACACCATCTAAAGCCCAAAGTCCTTGTGTTTGACTCAGTGTCAGGGATATGCTTTGACTAGGGTTCCATGTTGTTAGTTTGATAAGTCTAGAGTAAGGGTAATATCTGCAGCACTAAACTGGAAATCGAGAAGAATTCAGTGACTAACTGTAGAACAACTTCCTTGATATATAAGAGAGTTGATTTATTTCAAATTCTTATATACAGGAAAAAAACATCAAAGAGAGGTCTTATGTCACGCCCGTCTCGAAGCTTCGAAGCCAGGATATGGCAAGCGCAAGATCAGTCTAGTGGTGGGACAAGCATAGAAGCTACAGCTGCAATTGTTCTAAAAGGCAGCAGCATCTGGATTTTCAGTCCCAACTACACACCTGCTGCTCTTCTTCATCCCTGTCATAGTGTCATTCATTCAATCTGAATCTCCCCGATTTTCAGTCCCCAATTTGTTTGCAGCCTGGCGAGCAAATCTTGCTTTAAACATTGAAGATTTACCACATTTCTCCTAGCTTGCTTTAAACATTGGTTTGCAGGGGGCAACATAGCTTTACTCTTGGTGCTTGAGTGCTATTAGATGAATTTTGAATGTTACTGTTTCCTGGTACTTACCTTGACTTTGGCGGAAGAAGCAAGAAGCTATTGTGGAGCTTGTGGGAGATTCATCTAACAGCTTGGCGAGCAAATCGTCAATCCCTAAGCCCTCTTTAAAGCAAGCTAGGAGAATTGTGGTAAAGCTAGGCTGCCCTCTGCAAAGCAATGTTTCAATTGAGAGTAACATGTTGCAACTACTTAACAAATTGAGTTGAACTAGCTATATCTCTGCCGGCCATTTTATTTCCTTTTCGCTTAACTGGTTTATCACTTCACTTCACCATTCACTGGAATTTCTTTAACAAAAGGGTTTATCTTCACTCAGCCAATGAAACTTAAATCTTAAGTTTGAATCTCTGTCTGAACAAAAGACATGGCAATTTGGATGTCCACTAAATGGACTTGTGTATTCTTTTTGCAGGGATAGTTACTATATGCTTGTCAAAATGGTCATATATGTGCTCAATATATGAGAAGCTACTTCTTGCTAACTTGTTTTCTGATTCTCTTTGATTTTGCTAATGTCAAGCTCGACCTTAAATTGGAATCTCTCTTTCGATGGAGACGGTTCAAAGAAAAAGGAGAGGCCCCTCTGTCTTCACAATGGCCCTAATGGTATCATACGTGGAAGGAAGTCTAAGGTGCAAATTTTTCTCTGTCGTGCTCTATATATGATTTACTTTACATTCATATGCGTCTTTGCTGCAACTATTAGTCACAAGGTTCTTTGTCGATATCTCACGTCTCAACTCTTCTGTCCGACTAAATAGCTCGAATCCTCATCCTTGATTCCTGAATTTCCTGCCCTTTTGTTTGATCTGCATTCACAGATGGTGAACCACATCGCTGCAGCGACATGTGATACGCCTTTCAATTTCTTGAAGAGGTTATTAACCGGCTTGTCCCTTCTCCGTTCTTTTCAGCCATCGTAAATACCAAAGAACACATCTCTTTATATCCACATATTTATCACATGCACAATCTGCGTCGTCTTTCCATAACTAAAACACTATATGAAGTATAAACATAACTTTGACCTTGTTACACAATGAAGAATTTCTGTAATAAGTGAATTCAGTTAGATGTTCAGCAGTTGTTATTGATATCCGTTAAGTTAGTTAAGTTATCCACCAGTCATTGAGCTTGACTCGGTGATATCCGTTGGCTAGACTTCCATATTATTAGTTTGATAAGTCTGGATTACAAAGGTAATATCTGCAGCATTAAACTGGAAATCGAGAAGAATTCATGGAATAAATGTAGAACAATTTTTTCTGTTACAACTTACAAGAGAGTTGGTTTATTTCAATTCTTATCTACAGAAAAGAACACCAAAAGAAGTCTCGTGTCACACGCTTTCCTCAAAGCTTCGTAGCCAGGACATGGCAAACGCAAGATCAGTCCCGTGGTGAGACCGACATGGCAGCTATAGCACCGCCACTATTCTTAAATGCAGCATCATCAGGATTCTCACTGTCGGCTACTTGCCCGCCTTCTTCATTTACTGGTATACTTCATCTTTCTCGGTCCTTCAATCTGAATCTCCCCGGTCTCTATGTCATCCACCCAACTGGTAACACATCTCAATCTCCCACAAGCTCTGCGATAGCTGCCTGCCTCCTCCGAAAAGTCAGGGTAAGTACCGGGAACACAGTAACAATCAATTCACCTGTTTCTCAACACACAAGGAAAAGAACCCAATTTTGATGGAAGAAACCCAGAATTTGTATATATTATTGGTACCATCTCTAATTTCGGCATGGTGTCATGATTCTTGATGGATAAACTTGAAAGAAGAATGAGATCTGCTCAGTGAATAGAATAAGAAAGAGTTTCCAAGTTTCGTAGCATTATTCTCCTCATGCCGTCTGCTCTTCTGTCCATAATTCTCTTAAGGCTATGTAAAACTATAAGTAATAACATTCTTCTTACGTGAACTTACAGGTTCTAAATAACCCTGAAGTTGGAATAACTTGGACCCGACCGTGGAAGGCCGATATGATAATTTCTTCCAGAATCTGTTGCACTGTATTGATACGGTTAGGCTCTCTTATTCTTCTTCTGATTTGTAACATAAAACTTGGAGCCAACAACAAAAGATTTTCACTGTTCTATAATTTCTTTTTGTGAACAATACAGCTATAAATAATGCAGTCTATTTGTATGAATCTGTTAAGAGACTTTTGCAGTACATGTTATACGCAACCAGCACGAGATTTGTATATACAGCATCAAGATCGATTTTGAACTGGTAAGATTCAGGAACTAAAACTTCTTATATAAAAAACTGACTAATAATACCATAGAAAATGTCTTTGAATAAAACCTACCAACGTAGTTCATCAATCTTACATAATCTGGTGCTAAGAGATCAACCTCTTATAACATGGACCTTGATTTGACAAACCAGACCATTCATCTCCCTAAATAACTCGCAAATCATTTTATCACTCGACTTCACTTGATTCCTTCGAATTATACTTTCGAATCCCTTGATCTTCTGGTCCTTAACTGTCGTCTTCAATTTCCCGCATCTTTTCTCGAGCGGGTCGATGAGATAGATGAACTCAGGGAAGCGTAAGCCATAGTCGTTTATGACCCGAGCTGGTATGCGCTGCAAGATCGATCGGTCCAGTAGATTTATACAGAGTTTAGTGTGTATAATGGAAGAGAAGAAGAAAAGATATGAGATTTCACATTTCTTACCGTATAGATTTTACTCTCCAGATTCTGGGTCACTATAAAGAACGGGTTCATGTCATTATTCAGATACTGTCTATCATCTTCACCATCACTCTTTATGTAGACTCCAGAAGAACCTATCAAGATTAATACTTAATACTCAAGAAAATAAAAAAGGCAGTGATGTTCAAATTTACTTCACATTCACAAGACCAAAGTTTCTATTGTAC